GTCGAGCCTCGGTCTCAGTTACGCTGCCGTGAAAGTTTCGGCCGGAAAAATTAATATCTCGGGGAGGCATAAAAGGTAGAAAGCTGAAATTTTGGAGGAATGATTTAGCTTCCACGTACTCCTGGGTCTCTTGTGCGACCCTGCGAAAGTTTTGATGGGGAAAGTTATTATCTTGAGAACTAGAAGAGCTGTGAGGCTAAAATTTCAGGAGGATGTTTTCTCCTGTGCAGGTACCTCATAAACTCAAATTCAGCTCCCAAATATACAGAAACCTTATGTACGACCATATGAGAGTTTTGATGTGAAAGTTACTAGTCCGAAAACCGGAAAGGTGGGAGGTTAAAATTTGAAGGGATGCTTCCCATCCACTTTTTCAAATTCAGCTTTTCGTATCGACACGTGAAATCTTCAGTGGGAAATTCCTCACCTTAGGAGCCGGATTACTATTTTCCCACATATGAAAGTGTGAAACAGTTATATTTTTAGTAGGCAAACGTCCGTTGGACGAAATTGCGTAAAATGCATGATCGCACCGGCTACTCTGGTGCGCGCCACTATTTATTATTTCCTGATAAGTGCTACCAGTTTTTATGCGTTTTTGCTTATATGCAAATTGCAGAAACGCATATTGCAACGATTCTGTCCGTGTGTGTGTGTGTGTGTGTGTGTGTTCGTCTGTCTGAGTATTTCAACTCGGCAACCAAGCAAGCTCCGGCGCCAAAATTTTGCCAGTGGGTTCCCCGGCCATGTGCCACCCCAGAACCGCGGTGTCAACCCTTACGCAAGCCTGGGCCCAGCGTACGAGAGGGTGAAAGTTTTGGCGGGAAAATTGCTAGCTCAGGAACGAAAAAAGCTAGAAAGCTGAAATTTTGAGGTTATGTTCCCCGTCCACATATAACTCAAAGATTTCAAATTCAGCCCCCAGGTGTGCGTGGTTTCCGCGTGCGGCCCCGTGAGGTTTCCTGGCGCGAACATCGCTAACTTGCGAACCAGGAAAGCCAGAAGGCTGAAATTTCAAGAGAATGTTCCCAGTTCATGTACAACTTAAATTTATTAAATTCAAGCGCCAGGCGTACGTGATTCTTATGTACGGTCCCATGAAATTTTTTGACGGGAAAATGGCTAGCTCGGGTAGAAGGAAAGCTGGGAGGATGATATTTTAAGGGGATGTTCCCAGGCCATTTACGACTTAGAGATTTTAAACCCAGCCTCCAGGTACGCTCCCAAGTCACGTTGGCCTTGTGAAAGTTTTGTCTGGAAACTGCTAACTCGGGAATCAGAAAAGCTGAGATTTTAGAAGAATATTCCCCGCCCAAATGCAGCTTAAAGGTTTAAATTCAGCCTCCACGCACGCGTGGTTCTCGTGTAAAGGCATTTAAACTTTTAGCGGGAAAATTGCTTGTTGAACAGCTGGGTCATCTTCAAATTACGACTGCTAAACGTAAATTGTTTATTTCTTTTTATGCAAAATTTGCGACCATTTACGGTATTGAGCGCACAAGGTAGGTGTGAAGAAACAATCGTTTATCCAGTTAACCTAATTTCTTCAAGTATGGTGCAGAAACGCATGATCGCATCGGCTCGCCTGGTGCTTTTCAGCTTTGGTATTCTCTCAAGTGAATGAACAAATCAAAGCCAGTCTATCTGTCCTACTGGTGCGTATCACTAATTATTATTCTGACATTATTATGCGTTTTTGCTGTGCAGCGCTATAGCAGCGCTATAGCGCTGCAACAGCCGGCAAAAACGCATATTGTCGACAGGCTGTCTGTGTGTGCGCTCCCAAAGCGAGTGCATTTTGTCACCCACTTTTAACTCGGCAACCAGGAAAGCTGGGGGCTGAAACTTC